GCTAAACCAGAGAATTTTGTGATTCAAATTACAAACCCAAACTCAAAATGGAAAAAGTTACTATAAAACATTGTACAAATTGATGAAGTATGAAAAATAAAAACACAAAAGAATAGCTTATCATAGGGCTAAAAATACATTAGCCATGCTAAATTCTTCAAGTTGGAAAACTCAAACCATAAGACTAATGTTTTATGTAGATGTACTATCTTCAGTTTCAATCAAAGTTTTATTTTCTGAAATGTATCAACTCATTCAAAATTCAACCAATTTAAAAGCACTGCTTTTTATGACATGGAAGAAATAAATAGTTTAATTCCCTTAAACTGTGCATAGAAATTTAATGGTTATGAGTTTAATAGTGAGGAATATATGATTCAATGTCTCACACTTTGGTATAGATCTTTTGTTAATGTCTCTGTACATCTACCATTTAGGTATGGAAAGAAGACAGTTTTTAACTATAATATCTTTTAAATGTCTAAATTTGTCAATAAAAAGAACACCCAAGGTGAACATAGAGGAAAATGTTGGAATTGAATGTAATTGCTTCCCATCTGAATCATTATAAATTAACTGTTCAGTAAGTCTAGATTTAGAATAGGTAGACAAAAGAGAGTCTAGTTAGACATTTTTGAAATCTGAGAGGTAGACAATGCCTTCCCACTTTTAACACTCACTACAAAAAAGAAAGAAAAAAGAAAAAAATGAATTTCATAAAATATATTAATATATGTGCGGGTGACTGGAATCATGGATGATCAAATATATTTCCAATTTCTAATTAAATGCTTTAATTATTTTGTAATTAAGGCTTATGTTTCACATTGTTGTTTTAATTTTCATACATTTTGCTTTGTCTCTTTGCATTAGGCAGATTTAAACTTAGTGATTACTATAGTGCATTTACTAGAAGTTACTTGGAATTGAAGAAAACTACAAATTTTTGCAAGACATCATAAATCTGAATGTGGAATGCTCGACACTGCAGAAGCAAAGCTTAAGTATTCATTTCTTCTAATATAAGTAGAAACATAATAAATTTTAGCATGGAAGCACCAATTACTGTTATGTAAAACTAGTAACATTTATAAAAATCTATAAAGGCACATAGAAGTCACTATATAACATGTGTTCCAAAAGAGATTTGTTCCTTCAATTTTATAATTTATAATGCCTGGAAAAGGATGATTTCTTAGGGTATAAAATGGAGTACATCATAAATCCCATAAATTACCACTGAACATTTAGCATATTTAAATAATTTTTTAAATTTTTTCTTTTCAAAATAACCCATTGATTAATATCTTGGGTATATATAGTAGAAATAATATTTCTATATTCAATAAAAGTTTCAGAGACAAATTCCAGTTCAATGTAATTGTCCATACTTAAATTTAAATGTTATGATAATGTTACTAAGACAAATCTATATATATTAGGTAAAATATGAAGAAGAGTTTTATCATATTTAATTTTAATTCTCATCATATCTCAAGAAACAAATGGCAACTTTTGAAAGAATCATCATGGATCTTAATATGATTAAAGTACATTCTATACATAAATGAAAATGTCATAATGAAGCCCAGTATTTGTACAATTAATGTACAATAATAATTATAATTTAAATATTAAATTGTACAGTGCTTAATCACTCTCCTTTAAAATAAAATATTCTAATTAGTAAAACACCTCTGTTTTTACCTGTAAGTTGAGGGAGCAAAAGGTATACATACTTATCAAGTTTAAAGGGCCTGGACATTGTTTAAATTAAAATAATTTTGATTATGTATTCTACAAGAGCTAAGTGGTTTACAATCTCATATAATCAATGACTATAATGTGATTGACATTAAAACTTTGCATGATATATTGACACTGGTGTAGCTGTTTTTTTTTTTTCCTGGAAAACTGAAATATATTATAGATAGAGGATAAATACTATATAATATGTAGTTTAAATGACAATTATATGGAAATTTTATAAATATTATAATTTTTAACGTTCATCCTAATATAATTACTGAAGAAACATCTTTTGCCATTGGCTTTTATAGATACAAACACTGAATGTAGCTATGATAGGAAATACTAGGAAAATTTTTATATTGTTTTCACATTAAACATCATGGCCTAAAAATACAGATAAACGTTGTATTTATTCCAACTATTTAAGAAATGAGACTCTTTGAAAGCGTATGGAACAATTAATAGGTTTTTGAAATTCAAAGAAAATTTAAAAATCATATTTGATTCTAGAAAGCAATATTTCTTTTGCTCCTTTGTTCTTTGAATCACTTTTTTCCCTTCCAAATAACATTTTGCTCCTATTGTGCTACTAGAAATCTGGATTTCACAATTTTTACCAATATTAAATACTTTGTGTCTTCAATTAAACACGTTTCTTGCTACTTTTGCTTTAATTGTATGATTGCTTCCTTTTCCAGTCTTTTTTTTTTTTTCTTCATTTTTCCTTTCCAGATTTCTGGCCTCACATTTTAGACGATGACTGATCAAGGCAGGTTGGAGAGACATTCCTGGACATGTTATAAACATCTGATGCAGTGGATGAGGAAAAAGCCAGTGCAGTCACTGGGCAGGTTCAAGTGCAAGCCCCTCAATAGGAAAACTTTGTGTTCCCTTCTTGCTAATTACCTGCAATGCCCTGGTTAAATTCAAACACTTAGCAATTGCTTAGCTTCCTCTAAACGCACGTCATGCAAACTAAAGGTCCTTTATGAATGTTTTGTTGGTATCCGCCCGTGAAGTGTATTCTTAGTCAGTCTTGTCTGACACTGTAGGAAACCTCTAGATGAAAGCACTATACCATGCAAACATTTCTGGTTATGTTTATTGAGGTGGTTGCCTAAATTTAAGTTTGAATAAAATCCTCGTGCTTTCACTCAGAATCCACAGAGGAACTACAAGAGTTAGGGAAATTTAGTGTTGTTCTTTGTACTTCAACTTTTAATATCAGAGAACATATTGAAACCATAAACACAATGAAAAATCGAAAATATTCCGACGATATTGGAGGAATAAACCCCCTCCTTAAAAAAAAAATTCTTAAGAAGCCAACCCGCGTAGGGAGTGACAGGAACAAATACTCAAGATCTAAATCCTGGATGCCATCCTACCTGTGCTAAAAACCCTTACAAACGTGCAACCTGAGAAATACCCCAAGACCCCCTTTCAAAACCTAAAATAGTATTTGATTCCCGAAATTTCGGCAAAGAAAGTCTTACCGTCAACGACTTGCAGCAGGTTCCAGCTCAGAAACAGAATGAAAAGTTGAGCAGCTGGTGAACAAAAGTTTTAGTTTAGTTTAGTTTTTTTTTTTTTTCGAAGTCTGCAAAACTAATTTCCCTCAAAATAGGGCTCAATTTCCGTTAAAGAAAGCAGCGCTTACAAATCTCCGAATTCCTGATCAACCCTCTCTCCACTCCATCTCTAAGAAGTGGAAAACTGTTCGATCTTACACTTGGATGTGAAGGCTTATTTCGAAGCCACTTAAGACTGAAGTCGGAGAGCATGGCAAAGGAAAATGTCCTGCCTTAGCAACACCCTCCCAAGATTAATCAATACTTTTTCCTAATTCAAACCAGATGTCTAGCCCACTTTTCTGTACCCATTAATCCCATTAGCGACTTCAAAGACCTGGCCACCATCCTCTGGACACCTGAGGCAATGAAAATAAGAGGGTGACACTGGTGGTGGCATATTTGGGGCCCGGACAGGATTGGTGACTTCAGATATACTCCTGATGCGAAGTGTCCCTGACTTTGCTGACGTTCCATAGCCAGTTGCGTGCTTGTTGCATATAAAGGACTCAACCCCCAGCAGAGAGTGTTGCCACCCGAGCAAGTGGCTGAATCAATGCCCAGCCCTTACTCCACAAATTCATTATGGCAAGTTTTCCTAACTTCTATCCAGGGATGCACTTTGTGACCACGGAGACCCTAAGCGGCCAAGCTCAGTGAAGTTTGGGGGATGTTGAAGCATAATATTGCTCAGTAAATGCAACAGTGACGGTTAGAAGGGGTGTGACTAGCTGATTGTTGAGTGAAAGTGAGGGTGGACATCTGGAGAGAAATTAAGGGGACCTCTTGAGTTACCTCGTGAAGGATGAGGGTAGAAATACCCTTGCATCCTACAAATCTCATGTGACAGGGAAAGAATATTCCTGACCCAAGAAAACTTGGACCAATCATTAGGAAATGGAGCGGGACTAGGAAATGAGGCAGGGGGGAGGGTCGGAAACAGGAGGAAGGGGGACGCCACTTAGCTTTGAATGAGAGGGATGCCAAGGGCGTCAGGCATCAGCAACCACTCCACCTCACGCTTACCTTCCACTCACCCCACCAGGTCCCTCTCTTTTCCGCAAGGAGAAGGACCCCTCTGTTGTCTGTTGGTGCACAGTCCTTCAACCTCCGACCTGGGGTCCTAATTCTCTAACAACCCACCCACTCACAGACATCCGCAGTGAAAAGCTAGGCGAGCCACTGCGCGTAGGGAGTAGGGAAACGCGAAGTAAGAAAAACTCGCAGCGTGCGCCAAACTAGTTCTGATTTTTTTTCCCTTTAATCCTATTCTGTGCTCAAGGTTAAGATGCTCTCCTAGCTTTTCTGCAGGTGACAGCTTCCAAATGGCACAGACAAATCTTATTTCCCAAGAAAAGCGAGTGTGTGGGCAACTGGGTGCGAGCTTGGGGCTGACTTGAGTTGCTGCGCCTGGGCCTGCGGGGTCTGCAGTGGCCAGCCCGGCGGGATGCAGGCGCCCGGCGCACGGCTGGCAGGGCTGATGGCTGACAGGGTCGGGCGGGCGCGGACGTGCCACTTCTGTCCAGCCAGCTGTGGGAAGTGGAACTGAGAGCGCGGGGTGGCGCAGACTGAGCGCGAGTTTTGGAGGGAGTTTGCATGTGGTCAGCGCTGGGCTCCTAAGCCAGCCCCCAGCTCACATTACACTCTATTTATAACCTCTCAGAGCCATTTCCCCCTGAAAGCAGTTCTCTGGGACCACCTTCTTTTGGCTTCAATCTCTCCCACTCTTGACATCCGAGTAGCTTGGAGGGAAGCTCCTCCAGGTCCGAGTGTTTATATGTAAAGAGACTGGCCGCTAGGGCTCACGACCGGGATTATCCGAGCTCTGCAAAAACGCACGCGGTTATTACCTTGGGAGGGTGGGAAAGTCACACGAGTTTCAGTGAAAAGTGACAGAGGGTGGTGGCGTTTGGAACCGTCGTGAAGTCTTCTGCTTGGAACCCGAGACTTGCATGCTATGGAACACCCGCTCTTTGGCTGCCTGCGCAGCCCCCACGCCGCAGCGCAAGGCTTGCACCCGTTCTCCCAGTCCTCTCTCGCCCTCCATGGAAGATCTGACCATATGTCCTACCCCGAACTTTCTACTTCTTCCTCGTCTTGCATAATCGCGGGCTATCCCAACGAGGAGGGCATGTTTGCCAGCCAGCATCACAGGGGACACCACCATCACCACCATCACCACCACCACCACCACCAGCAGCAGCAACACCAGGCTCTGCAAACCAACTGGCACCTCCCGCAGATGTCCTCCCCACCGAGTGCGGCTCGGCACAGTCTCTGCCTCCAGCCGGACTCGGGAGGGCCCCCGGAGCTGGGGAGCAGCCCGCCGGTATTGTGTTCCAACTCGTCCAGCTTGGGCTCCAGCACTCCGACCGCAGCCGCGTGCGCACCTGGGGAGTACGGCCGCCAAGCGCTATCACCTGCCGAGGCAGAGAAGAGAAGTGGCAGCAAGAGGAAAAGCGACAGCTCAGGTAAGGACGCACGGAGCACCCTTGAAAAAAGTGCGCTCCGAGGTGGAAGCGGGGCGCAGAGATGCCAGGGAAGAGTCTTGCACTAAGGTGAGGCGACAGGGAAGATGAGAAATGCTTTGCCCTCTCTGGCTCCCCGTGGCCAAATTCGGCGGTGCAACTTTGGTCCTGTTATTTGGCGACTCGTGTTTCCCTAAGGGTAATTCGTATACAGCCAGCAACTCTAAGCTCTCCAACATTCCAGACTAGTTTACCAGAGGTTGTGAAGAAAGGGCAAGTGACAGTATGTGAAATCGATTGCTAGGCATGACGATCCACCCATGCTTTGGTAGGGGTGGATTCAGCGTCGGTCTCGCGTGCGTGCGTGCGGGTGCCGCTCCTTGACTTTTCGCTTGCAAATTCCCTGCTTTGAGTGGCTCGATTTTTCCCATCGTTAAGTGAATTTCCAAATTATTGCACAATATTTGGAACTTGCAGTGGAACTTGGCACTGCACATGAGAAAAAAATTTTAGTTTTTTTCATTATGATTTCAGAGATCTTTAAATAGCACCCTATTCCAAATGATAAGATTTTTCCTTCTCTTTGGGGAAAAAAAGAGAAGGAAATTTAGGAACTTAGAAATTTTTAAGGACTTTATCAGAGGATTGTAAATAAATAGATGCTCAGAGTCTTAGAGGAAAGTGATTCATCACAGTAGTGGGTACTCATGTGGTGCTAATATAAAGAGACTATGAGTTTCAAAAATGAAAAATAAAATCCTCTCTTAGTTGGGTAATATTTGGACGAGCATTGGGAAGCAAACCGCAAGTCCTTAGGTTTGGCTGCCTTCGGGCCTGAAGGAAATAGGCAAGGTGAGGACCAGAGTTTATCTCTGTGGGTAACTTGAGCAGTCACACAAATGGGAATCCTTGACTCGGAGCCTAAAGTTGCTGTATGGGAGTACATTGTAGCAATCACAGAAACCGAAAGTTTTCAGGGCAACTCTTCAAAGCCGTCAGCTGCCTGTGTCATTATAAAATTGTTTAAAAATACTTTACAACGAAAGAAGTGCGTTTTTCTATGTAGCCACAGCGCAACCTGGATTCCATCTTCTTCGAAAGTGTCATTTGTTTAATACAATGTTTGCATAGTTTTCTTCTTTTGCGAATTGGCTGAGGAGTTCTATCTAAAAGGTAATCTCAGATATTAGCTTGAAGACTGGAAAAATGTTTAGCCTTTATTAAACTTTAGGCAAGATGCTACGTAAATGACGATAATTGAACTGTGTATTTCATATTACTTTGTAGAATGCTATCAATTCTTCTTCAGTGTTAGTGTGGGATAGTCTCTTCTGTCAGTTTCAAAATCTAACTTTTACTTTCCAAGGTCAAGGGTGAATTTTTAATGCTCCATCAAATTAGTTTACATCTAAAGAAAGTTACCAGTACTCTCATTCATTTTTAATGGATTTTCCTAACTACAAATGAAATTCTCTTTAGATAATTAGTTGAAAGATTAATCCAGGGAAAGTTTTCATCTTCATTAGATAAAAAAATCAGTTTTAGAATGCAGGGATGATTTCACAGACTGGGAACTAAAGATCAGTAATTTTTGGAAGAAGATCTCAGTGCACATTGGTCAGAGTACTTTTGCAAGTTCCAGAAGCCATCACTGTTTATTTTACTTCTAGAGGGGAAACCTATGTGCTGGATTATTCCTTATTCCTCTTGAACTGAACCAATACCCTTTAAGATTCTTTGAACAAGTGGAATTTTTACAGGCCCATCTTATTTTTGTTTGGGAGAAACAGAGAAAGTGGGGTTCAAAAGCTGACCCATAAATTATTTTAATTATTTTACTATCTTAAATTTTTGCCTATTCAATACTTATCATCCTCTTCATCAGTGGAGAATAACCTTATAACAAAACAATGCTTAATTTTACATGTTAAAGCTGATTATTAGGGTTCAGAGAAAACAAATAATAAAATTTGCATCACCTTCATAAAGTGTGAATAGGTTACAACTTAAGGGGGACAGCCAACTAGTCATCAACCAAGAATAAAATTATTGCAGACTTAGAATGAACTTTCTCTTTGATAGGAATATTTTGAAAGAATGAGTAACTAAAAGTAACTATCACAATAATTGTTGTACTTATTAAAAATGAAATTCAATTTATCAACTTCGGGGTCTGAATAAATATTTGTTAGCTCTTTAAATAGGTTTAAATTCAAGTTATCATTCCCTTGTTATGACAATGCCTTTGGTCTTCCATAATGAATGTTCAAGGTTATTTCGGCTCATAGTATTACAAGTGCTTTTTCACTTAGCAGAAATTAATGTAACATGGAGAATGATTGTAATCTTGTGTTGTTATCAACACATACTCCTTTATTACTTATGGCACAGTTTTAATCTTTCAATATTTAAAAAATTAAATAAATTTCTGAATTCTTTCAATTTTAAATTGCATTAGGTGAGCATCATATCATGCATAGCAGAGATTATTTCTCTTTTGTTAGGAATATTACAACTATCATGTATTCATAGTTGAGAGTAAATGCAGTACATAAATCCAAAGGAAGTTGGAAGCAAAATTCCATAACCCTGCATCTAACACTGGGAAACTGTGTGTCTATGTGTTCATGACCACATTAAGTTAATGACACTAAAACTACAATATGTAACATTTTCAGCATGTCTTTATATATATATATTACCTCCACAAATATACACGAACACACATACATACAAATTCATAAAGCTTAGTTGTTTAGAAGCAGATATTTATAGACTTTAGGTTTCCATTATAGTTTATTGACAATTGAAAATAACTTAGTTTAATAGAAAAGTACACCATTATTTTTCATGTGCTAAACATTTTCATAAGGTTGAGCCTGCTATGTTTCCCAGTATTATTAGTAAAGCTAACATCTGCCACACCTTCAAAGGCCCTCTTAAAAATAAAAACTTTATGACTATTTCTTGAAATAATCAATGCAAAGCAGGTGATCCTGAAAAATGTCTATAAATAGTACAAATTTCTTGGCTTCAATTACATTGTATTGTTCAACTAGCCATCAAAAGAAAGCACAAATTGCCTACTTTTTATAAAAATAACTGAAATTGATTCATCTAACTCCAGCTTTTATGCAGATAATATACTATGTAAATATGTAAACATTGTCTATTCAGATTAGGTTAGTAAAGTGCATACTTTATTTTATAGATAAAACTCACACTCCCCAAAAGGGCAGAGAATGATTTGGGAGTTGGATTTTACTAGATTTTGAATCATATTAAATTCTTGTAAAATGGTAAATATTTTATTTATAGTTTCAAATCACAAAATACTTGCTCTCAGATTATATCTATATGCTTGGTTATACAGAATTTTAAGCAACTATTATACTTAGTATGCTGAAAGTTAAACCCAGAGTGATGTCTTACTCCCACCTATTTTTAAATTTTCCTAGATATTTCAATAATTTTTTCTGAAAAGAAAAACATAACTTTATTATAATTTAAATGCTATTATTATTTTATATTATAGATTTTCAGTATTTTCTTAAGAGTAAAAAATAGCCAACTGTACCTTGAAGATTCTAGGAGAATATCAAACAATTTAAATGTCTCTAAGGTATGGAATATAAAATACAACTATATTACTTTTTCTTGGAGTAGTGGCTTATTTTAAAGTGTGAACATCTCTAAATGGTAAACACACACACATACACACACACACACAAACACACACACAAATAATTGTAGATATCACTGACATGAATGAGAGTTCTCAAGTGGTTATACTAAGAAGTTAAGAGCAGCATTTCCTTAAGAATGAAGTGATTTAAGATTGAATGACTGTAAGGAAAAATGCAAATAAAAATAGGAGTAGTTTCTAGTTCTGTGTAAATCTCTTTATTTGTGGCTTATTTGAAAAAGAAAGACATTAATTGCATGTTAACACAAAAGCTTTCACTCAGATTAGAATCCCAATGCTATATATTTAAAATTCTCATCTCATGTAATGTTATTTTTCCCATAGATTATATTTCCAAATTTACTTTGTAAATTGTGTGTTGTGTCTTATTTAGCTTTTAGGGGATTCTAAAATATTTTATGTGTTTATTGGTCTCTCTTACATCTACAAATGAATAGGAATGATGAGGTAAAATCTATGTTGTATCTACACATTTTGGGGAAGTATTTGTGTGAAAGAGATGAAAGGACCTTTAAAAATAATCACTTTGCTTTCTCTTCTTCATATATATAAAAATTAATAAATTATGTCTAACATGGTATTATTACTATGGCATCTTTCATATTTAACACTCACTTGAACATTTAGTGGTTCTAACATGTTTGTCTTTGCTGGTGACTTAATTCTTAAATCTTTGGAATTTTTACCTTTATTGTAAATATAACATGCTTACTACATAAGCATATAGATGTAAAAACTTCAGATTGTTGATTAGAGATTTAAATTTGCAAGTTGTTGCTCTTTAATTTCATGAAATAAACAGTTCAAATGTTTCAAATATCTTTAAATACTGTCTCATTTATTTTGATAAGCTTTCTAAGATATAAATATGTAATTGAAACTTGCATAGACTATACTGTTTGAAATTATGAATGTGAGGTGTTTAATTTTTTGGCACTGGGGATGGATGATGTTTAATTTTCACAGTTTTTTGTTTGGGTTGTATTTTAGTAGAAAGTTTAATTGCAAGAAAGGATAACAGAGGGTGATGAATTAGTAAGAATGTGGCAGCTATACTTAAAGCACATGTTAAAATAAGGCATTTATCTAAAGTCTTACTACATAGGTATGTATGTTAAGAGATAAAATTCAAAATTGAATTTCTTGATAATAGTAAATCTGAAATAGTGCTATGTTAAATGCTGAAATGTGATGTTACATGTTTCAATTACAAAGTTAAATATTAAGTTTGAAGCATGTACAACTATGTGGAGACTCCAGCAGGCTGGAACCGGTAATCAATGATAGTCATAAAAGT